TCTTGTCGGGGGGGGGGGGCCAAGCCGCACCGATTGATCGGTGGTGTTTGTGTGTGGGGGATGGAAGGCGCGATAAGCAGTGCAGATCCTCTCCCTGCTCAAGCCGCACAACACAATAGGGCCTGCTGATGGACAGATGGTCGAAACCTCCTGTCATTTGAGCTGCCATTTTCATTTCACAAACATCTGCACCCGCATGATAAGACTGTAGCCAAATCCCAAATGCACTTCAGTGTTTGTACTGCAACGGTAGACTGAGTTTTGGAAATATACCAGTGAAGCTGTTTGTTTGGAATCAGTCAAGCCCCTCATTTTCGCTACTGTTATGGATGTAAAATGAATAATTCATGCCAGACGATGAAACGCATGCCAATTTCTTGATATGTCCAGAATATGGTGGCGCAAATGGATGGATTCATGGATGAGTGCACATGATAGGGTCCAAAGACAAGGAAATAAGATAAGAAAACCTTGATTTGTCTCACAATGGAGAAATTGCCAATTTACAGCAGCAAAATGATGAACATGCCAGATACATGCCAAGAGAAAACGAACAAAATAAACATACTGTATTTTGGACCGTTGAAGTGGAAGTGGACAATTTCCCAGGGCAGCCTTCACATGAGGGCATTCTGGAACACTGGCGCCCAAGGACCGCTCAAGTAGCTTGTGGGCCTCTTCTGAAAATAAGTCACAATTGATGGAACATTGTGATTTCCTAGGAAGGGTGAAGAAGTGATCATACACAAATGTGAACACTTGCGGAGATTTAGATGAGTAAAATTGTGCGCAATGATTTAAAAAAAATAAAAATAAATTTCCGATCTTGTTCACTGGCTGTTATCGCGACATCTCATCAACAAGGTCAGCGTCTTCATATCGCTGAATATCATCAATGATTAATCATAACATTCTGTTATTAATTAAGGGCAATATGAGGAAACAAAAAATTGAGAAGTCCCTCTGGTCCCTCTCTAGATGGCGTCAAGTGACTCGCGCCTCCAACAGCTGCCGTCCCAGAAGGATGCGGCTGACCAGAACTTTGACTACATGTTCAAACTGCTGATCATCGGCAACAGCAGCGTGGGGAAAACGTCTTTCCTCTTCCGCTACGCAGACGACTCCTTCACCTCAGCCTTCGTCAGCACCGTGGGCATTGACTTCAAAGTCAAGACCGTCTTCCGCAA